CCCTCTATTCTGTGGCACTCCAATGTGCGACAATCGACGAGGCTTCGTGCCCTGCTCCCGATGGTCTACTCGTTCCGGGCACCGCCGGAACCATGCACTACGACACCAATGATCCCACATCCATCCCGACACCCGGACCCGTGATGGAACCGACGACCGAGCCTGCCCCCGAGCCCACGCCCGAACCGACCACCAAGCCTACCCCCGAACCCATGCCAGCTCCCATACCGGTCATAGGCGTTCCCACTCGGCTCAGTCCCACCGGCCAACCTCGCCCACCTACGCCTTCGCCGTTTTCAGCCATGATTACCCCTCCGGCCGCCATCCCGACCCCTACGGTCATGCCGACGCTCCTTGACAACGATGACCCGACGAATCGTGTGTAGATGGCAGAGATAGTCCAGCAGCACCCAGTCCAACACCCCAACTCACGTGGGACTTGGCGGCTGAGCCTACAACTGAGCCCACGCGCACACCCTTGTCGGTCACCGCGCAGCCCATTCATCCCATCCCCGCCGGTCAATCTCATCCTCCTGCTTCTTGACCCTCGTCCATCGGGGCTTCCCCTACAGACAAGGGTGATGAAACACCAGCCACCACCCCGCCCCCTGCGGGTCCTACTAGAACGCCGATGTCTTCACTCTCGCTCAACGAGAGAGCCTCGCCCTGCATGACTCGTGCCCCTGTGGCTCCTAGTATGACGCCAACTACTTCATCCATGGCCAACGAGACTCGTACCCTTGCTGTAGCTCCTACTATGGCGCCGGTGTCTTCAGCGTGCCCAGCACGACTCGCGCCCCTGCTGTGGCTCCGACGCCAACTTCTTGACTCTAGGCCTGCGAGACTTTTTCGCCCGTGGATCCTATCACTAGGACGCCGATTTCGGGTGTGGATCCTATGTATTGGACGCCGATCTCTTCACTTTCCCTCATCGTGGCTCCCGCTACAGACACGGCCAACATGCCAACCACCGCCCCACCCACCGTGGGGCCTACGGTCACGCTGGGGTCCCCCGACTTATACGACGCCCCCCAACAGGACTTAGGCGACGTAGACGGCGGCGGTGACGCAAGTAACTGGGCCAAGGCACTGACAGTCATCTTGAACACCGTCGTGGCGGCGGTTACATTCATCGCTTTCGTGTTCCACCGCCTACGTAGGTGCCCTGACGGTGGGGATGGGAATGACGACGACGGTAACAACCGGAACGGCGGTATCGACGCCAACACAATTACCTGTGTTTGCGGATGTCACAACTCCTTCGGCGACACCAACATCATCACCCCGCCGCAAGCTGGGGCACATGGCAACAACGTAGCCCACGGTTGCACCTCCTACGAAAGCTGCAGCGACGACGTCTTTTTCAGCGCGCGCATCAGCCCGGTACACGTTGAAGGGTTTTGCAACGACATCGGAGCAATGCAAGCGTCTCTGTAGTCAAGACAAAGTAATGCACTTCTATTTTAAGGGTTGCAGCATTTACCATAGGATTGTTTTGTGTGGCGTGCAACAGAAGCAAGTCACAGCATTAAAGTTTTTTGTTGAAGACCGAACAATCTGCACTTTTTTGTGCACGGATGAATTCGGAACATCTCCCATCTATGTGTGTATTTGGGTTTTTGTTGTGCCGCCCTGGAGGCGCGTTGGTTCGGATGTCTTGGTTCGGCTTTCTGGGGTTCCAAAAAGAGAAAGGTCTCACGGAGTTCTCATTCTGCTGCCTCGGTGCTACGCTTGTCCACTGGACCCAAGGGCCACGATGCGAGAAAGACACAATGTGTAGCATGCCGCCCGCTTTGGAGGGCCACGCGGTAGAGAAGGGCAGCAGCTAGCTACATCGAAATTTGGACGATAGCTCGCAATCATGTCGTAGTTTTCTCCCGCCCGCCCACCCCTTTTCTTTCGAAGGTGGGGGATAGGAGAGACGTTACGAATGAGGGTTCACTTAGGAGAGGCCTCTTAATATTTTCTGGTACTCGGAGGAGCCACCGTTGCTACCATGTAGAATCAAGTTGGTGTAGCATGGAGTGTTTCCTGAATGGTAGTTGGTACTATTGGGAGGCTCAATCGTCCGAGACTGCTACTGTACAACAGTTTCGTCCCGTCTGGTGGTATTCGGAGGGAGATGTGTGTTTAGTAGCAGAGACACGTTAGGATACCGCGGAGGCTTTGTGCCGTGCGGGACGTGTGGTACGGGGGAAGTCTCCCCCCGTAGGCCACAGAAATATGAACCAAGGCAACTCGAAAGAAAAACAATAAAAGCGTTATTTAGCCTCCCTCCCGTTCACCCCCAACGCTGTACAAATAGATTCTTGCTGGTCTCCGTGTATGTTTGGCAAATGAATATGGTTCTACACCCCGTTCAACAACGGGGAGGGCGACGTCCGTTCCGCCATCGTGGGTACTTTCTCTCGAGCGGCTAAAACCTCTGTTTTGGCCGGCAGGGTAAGTTGTGGTGGTCCCGGCATGGAAAAGCGAAACCAGTATTTGCTAGCTTCTGCTCAGCCGAAGAAGTTTGTAGAGCGGGGATTTGCTTTTCGAGTGTACATGTACATGTATGTACATACCGTTTCATGTTTTTCCCTAATAGACTATGTAGTTGCCGATCATACAATTGTACCTCTATCAATACCGCGTGTGTACACAACGAACGTTGTACATCAGCGTGTTTTGCTCTGGAACCTATTTTTTTTTATTCTTCGCACAGACTATGGCCTTGGAATACCCCGGACCCTGGCTGCGGTGTCCTCATCCTCAAGATAGAGATGGAGTCAAGCTGTTTCAAAAGGCTTTTGGCGGTGCCGATACAAATACACTGCTGTAGGTTGCCCTTGTCATGTGTTCCGTGACTTTCTTTCTCCTGACGGGCTGCTGGGTTTTTCGTTTGCGGATCGTGTGTTTTCGCCCCATCTATTCTGGACGCCAGTGTACACCGTCGGCATATATGTGTGACGCACCAACTGAGCTCAGTGTCACACCACAGGAGGCAGGTACAAGCACTGGACAATCGAAACCTCAAAAGATCCGAATTTGGTGACTGTGGGAAAACTGCCGTGGGAGAGGTCACTGCAGGAGAGGCGCTGGGACACGGATCGTTACGCGGGACTGTAAAAAATTGAGGAACGCGCGGAACGGTTCCCGTGGTGCCAAACTCAGACCAATCAAAGATCTACAGTTGTAGGCTGCCGGCCCATGACCACATGATCACCCCACTCGTGGCACAAACCTACGCGCTCCTCCCGCCTTCCCTGTCTCTCCCGTTCTCTCCGCGGTGTCCAAGACTATCAGCTCCGCACACGGGCTGCCCACAACGCAGACGACATCTAAGGTGTACGAGTACCATGATGCGGCGTTCCTCCAGTGCGCCTCAACCGGCCGACCGAAGGCACGCCGACACGTCTCCCTCTTCAGCAGGCCTTTTCTCTACTGGCCCAGACCCAGGCGTTCCAATCCCTCTCGATTCCGCCCCCGCCATGCTCCGACGTCATTTCAGCTGCTCTGCCTCGAGCGGCGGTCCGACAAGCCCGTTGTCAGCATCATCGGCAGCAACAGCGGCACGAACATCAGCAGCGTCATCACCAGCACCAGGACTCTGGGAGAATCTAAAATCAGATACCATCACGTTCGGCACCTTTCGAAGTGAATCCTTTGGTCTACCCGTTCGGCCTCAGCCATCATTGTCGGTGAGTACTTGAGGTTCTTGGGGTGAAAACAGGGAAAACGCGCTGCTATCATGGGTAGGGGAGATGATGAGAGGACGGTCTACATGTACTGTCTACTGTGCACCATCTACAGTAGTAAGTGGAGGGAAAGACCGTGGATTCTTACATGTGTTCCTTCCTTCTCCCTTCCTCTTTGTTTTTCTTAAAACACCGTGGATTATGTACATGTGTTCCTTCCTTCTCCCTTCCTCTGTATTTTTCCTCCCCAAGACTTACATTCCTTACGCCCTTGCTCGAGCCATGAGCATGTCTTCTTCGTTCGGAGCGAACGATTCGGAACCGAACCTGCTTCTCTCCCAGCAGCAAGCATAGCAAACACAGCAAGCAGCAACACCACACAATAAAAAAAAAGGCGCGGACCCGCCGTGGAGAAAGGAAAAACCGTGGAAATACAGGTAGCTAGCTTTCTCCTGACGCCATAAATTCATTGCTAATCTGTCTTAGACCCTTTTCTTAAATAGAGATGGGTTCGTTGGGTCATTTTCAGGAAATAGAACAAAACCGAGAACAACTGCATGTTGGTAGACATTTGCACGTGCGTCAATACTTGTTCGCTCTTTTGTTTCTGTGGTCCATGGTCCTTCGGTGGACTGGCTGGCAAAAATGGAAAACGTCTCGCATCCTTCCCCTCTTCGGTTCACTTCAGACAGAAAACAAACTTTGGCCCCGTTATCATACATAGAGCACATGACTCACCCCCGAAAACACCGAGTTTCCGAATAACGCCACTACCCATGTATGTAGATGGGGGGGAGAGAGAGCGACAGATGTTCTGTTGATACAAAACAGCGCCCTTGATAGCGTAGCGGGGGGGGGAGACAAGAGCGTTCTGATATGGCAAGACCGTCCACGTACTCCACAACATGCTGTACGATTCTACCACTGCACCTTTAGCACTACCCTGTCCGTAAGCAGGGATGGTACAGCCTCCTGCTTGATGCCCGTAGCAAACTACAGCAGGAATGTGTTGAAACAGAAGCAAGCTTTTTTCGACCGAGTACCTTCGTTATTGGTTTACGACTTGGTCGCTCGATCTGGGTGGTCCACACATAGGATACCAGACCGACAGTACAGTCGGCCCCTCCAACACCGGCCGCACGTTGCTGGACGAACGGAGTGGCCATTTTCGTAGGCATCGATACGTTACCTTTGCTAAAGAAGTGTTTTTGCATGTTTTCTACATTCGGTGAACTACCACACACTTCTATACGGCCATTCCGTCTAAAGTCGACCCCCCCCCTCGTTTCCCCTCCTAATATATTTCTCCAAGCACAGATTGAGATGCGACAGGTCCCAGAACCTTCACCTCGTAGCACCGAACGCGTGCCATCCCCACCAGCACCACCAGCACCCGTCTCCGTCGAAGACAGCACTCCCCGACCAAAGGCAGAAGAAGAGAAAGAGGATGAGAAGGAAAAGTCCGCAGATTCGAAGAAGGTTCCGGGGACTCGTCCGGGCGCGTGCATGGTGTGCCTCGAGGACTGCGACAACGTGCTTGACTCTGCCTGGTTGCACCGCCTCGCCGCTTCGTCGTCCGCTTCCGATGTTGGAGGGACCGACTGTACGGTTACTGCTTGTGTCAGCTGCCTAAAGACGTACTTCACGGTGAGAAGAGATGAGATAGAAAAACGTAGGAGCAAGGTACAATAAATCTAGACCTTATGTACCGCTGTTGAAACATACCCAAGGGAGAATTTGGGAGACAATGTCATCGGGTTGTCTTGAGCGACAAAGGGCCGAATAACACTGTTTGCGGGCGTCACGTGCCTCAAGACCGCATCGGCACCAAGAACATGAACAATCGTAGCCCTTCAGGATCCTCAACGACGTTTGCTATATCGTCTGACGAGCTTTGGACACTACCCATCCCAGAACAACGATCGATCGGTCTGCTGATCTCCCACCCTGTGGGTGTGTGTCGACAGGATTGGACCGACTAAAGAGCCACGACACGTGCCTGGTCACTCGTTAGCGATTGTGCTGCCTGAGATCGAGTATTTCCTTGGGAATGTTCTCGACCACCTCTTCTACTACAGTGCACCAATCCGCTGTAGATGTGCATTCCGTTGTTTGGGTACTCGTCTCCCATTCTCAACACGCCATATCCCACCCCATTGCTTCAGGGCATCGTCGAGGCAGGCTTCGATGGGGCCTGTCCGCGAATGCGTTGCATGTGCTGCCCTCGGGTGGTTTGCGAGTGGGTGTGGGCCCCGCTGGTCGAAGCCACCGTTCTTGAGACCTTCCAGAAGCGCGCGGCCACCCTACTGTCTATCCAGGTACCCCCAAAGTTTTTTTTTCCAGCACAGCGTTTCCCGCATGCGATATCCTTCGCCATCCTACTCGTTATCTGCTCCAAGTCCTGCTGTGAGCGTTGAAATTGCCCACAGGGATAGACCAGCATATCTCAGCATTTTTCGGCGAAGGTCGGGGATCCAAGACTTCGATGTCCGTATCCCGCGGGCTCATCTCTTGTGTCAATCTGAGAACCAGGCAATCCGGACAGACGCCATGTACTCGCGTCTCGCTGATGAGCGCGCACCCGAGGCACTGGCCATGTGGTGTTTCAGTCAGACGAACAGCTGATTCCCACACAAGGGCTTTTTCCTTGACACCCGTTCCGTCCCACGAAATCTCGTTCCACCACAGTGCGGGATGTGCCACAGCCGCGGCACCATAATGGTCAAGCCACCAGCCGACCATTGCTACAGGTGCGGACTCGCGTCCCTATCCCTAGCTTGGGTGCGCCACGTGGTTCGACTTCAGTTTTGATTATGGAGATATATGTATCTACTTCCTAGGTGCAAGGCAGCTCAAGGGAACCCTTCGTTCGAAAGGAGGCATGCACCGGTGGTAGCAGACGTTTGATATACCTTATGAACTGGATATTCCATGTGTTGTATCGGTGGAAATCATGTCCGAAGCGCCCAAGGTGGAATTGTGTACAACGATTTGGTGAAAACCGAGTATGAGCAAGATCAGACCGGTCTCACCAGCAGTATCGTAACACCGCAGAAATTCCTTGAAAAATTGTTATCACCCAATCCACGTGATGCCATACTTGGCGCCATCAGCACTAAATCGAACTGTCTACGGCGATACAACATTGTTGCACGTCTTTCGGCAGCTCGGCGCTGGACAAGTTGATGGCGATGATCGCTTCCGGTCTCGCCCCCGCCACACCCCCGTCCGCCACCACCGCCACCGCCATCACCACCCAGGGTAGCCCTGCCAACATCAAAAGCAGCACCAACGGCGGCGACAACAGTGTGGCTTCCTCCACATGTAACGCACAACGCTTGGAGATTTTCCGCGCTTCTCTAGAGCGCTACATCTCCGGGCACGAGATAGACCCATCCCTATGCTATATCGCGCTGGAAGCGGCGATCGCGAACCCTGGGATCGGGCAGGCAGCACAGGAATCCCGCGATGAGCTAATGGTGCTGCTCATGAGCTGTGTCGAGGGTGAGACAGTTCGTGTCAACCCACACTTTTTTGTCAATTGCATGTCTGGTGAAATATTGAAGCTGCTGTTCATGCGCAGCCATGTGCCATCCTGGCAAGATTTGGCGTGCTGATGACTGTGGGAAAGACGTGTCCCGAAGCCCTCGTTCTTTGACACGACTGTCGGGATTGCCTTCGCGTACCGTACTCACCTGAGATGTCCCGAAGTGAGTCCTTTGGCGTTGCGTTGCTGTGACTTACCCTGCCTCACCGTGTCCGTCTCGACGTCGTATACATGCGTGCGTGTACGTTGTGGCTACGAGCAGATAGCGAGCGACGGGCAAACCTGCATATCCGCTTCATCCGGTCCAACCCAATGGTCGTGACGCAGTGCTGCAAGTCGCTGCACTGCTACCCGTGAGACTTACGATAGAGCGAGAGAGAAGGGGGAGATTGTGTGTGCTTGTGAGAGACGGAGAGAGAGAGAGAGAGAGAGAGAGAGAGAGAGAATGTTACCAAGTTTAAACATGACTCCACTGTTGATGCCTGCTACAACGAACGCAGAGTTCATCGGTTGAATTGGTACCCAGGATTAAGAATGGAGCTTCTCCGTAATCGCTGGTGCAGCATCTCCCGCCACGAGGGATGTTCGCCCTTGTGTTCAGCCATAGGTAGACTGGGCAGAGCATGATAGTAGCACTGGGATCGCGACCTAATAGGGTGGGCCCTGCAGACAGATGACCATAAAAAACCAAACATACCCGTCTTCTTTAATTGATGCAAAAATGCTCGCACCATACTCGGACGCAGGTGCCGTGTGGTCGGCGGACACCACCCTCAGACATGCGAGCAGTACGAGGCCGGGCGAGGCCACCAGGACGTCTGCAAGTGTCCGGGGTGTGGCGTTTACGTGGTAAAAGGCGATGGTGAGACCGAAGAAGAAAGGAACAACGCCGCAGATTAGGAGGTGTACGTAGGTGGACACACATGTCTCCGAGAGAAGAAAGACAAGGTCTATATTTCAGTTTTGTTAGACTCGATTGTTTGGTGAGCTCGTGGTCATCGCTTTCTGGGTTTGACGGATGGAGAAAAGGACGTACTTCACGACGGTCAGAACCGTGTTTAGTATAAAGACGATAACAGCGGCAACAGGACGCGGAGGGGGCGTGCAGTTGTGAAGAAACGTGCTGTTGCGGTAGCAGACAAAGAAATAGACATTTCACACTTGTGGTGCCTTCTATGTAGTTATACGCAAACTTTGTCCCACTTTCCTAGATGCTGCTCTTGTTCACGATATCGGTTTCTTGCTTCGCCTTCGAAATGGTCCCAATGTCTTTGTATCTCTCGATCGCGATGACAGGCTGTGACAGTATCAGCTGCATCTGCGGCCACGACTTCAGCTGGAGCGAGCTGGTTGCAGCACGCCACAGGCGGATCGCGGACGCCTTTCGAGACGCCCATCCCGAAGACACCGGTCGGGCGGCGGCACAGATCATCCGACGTGGCCCTCCCACGGCTGCTGACCTCGGCGCTGGTCCCCAGGTCGGTCTTCCGCTAGAGTTTGAATGTCACCTTGCTCCAACTACCATGAGTGTTGATTTTGTCATCGTGTCGTGGGGCGAACCCAAATACCATACACAAAACATGTTCTTATTGGGCTCGTCATTTGAGCTGTACGTTCGTAATATATCGTACTAATGTCGCCAACGTCCCGTTAATCCAGGAGGACATCAACGAACACGTTGGTGCACGCGGGGACATCGAAGAGCAGCAACAGCAGGGCCACGAATACCCGCTCGACGCACCTGCAGCGACTGCTGCCGGTACGGAGGGCGGTGAGAGCGAACAAGGGGAAGATGGAGAGGAAGGACAACCTGCTACCAGCGGGGCATGGGGAGAACCGGTTGAACATTGGGAGCCTGTTGAGGACGGCGCGTGGGGACAACGATGGGTGCCGGGGGTTGAGCAAGGACCGGGAGCGGCTGATGCGTGGCAACCAAACCAGAGACCGGCCCAGGAACTGGAACGAGCACCGCTTCATGGGACGGGTCAGGCAACCATTGAGGAGGAGCGGGATGAGCCGGTCCCGGTCCCGGAAGAAAACGGGCGTCTTTCAGCGGAGGATGAGTTCCGACTGGCAAACGCCTACGCGGAGGCATACCCTCGAGAGCTTGCCCGGGGGCGTGCGGTCATTTACGGGGAAGAGAACCCACACTTTACAGTGCAGCGGGCTTGTGCTCAGGTGAGAATTCCGAATTTTCGCTCGGATCCACATTGACGAAATGCGTTCCCTTCTTTACATACTGTAGCACCGCATACGTCGGATAGTACGATTCGCACGGCCATGAGAAAAGGTCAAGGAGTAAGAGCTTACATCTCCCGCAATAGGTTTAAAGTGTTTCCCGGCAACGTCAACAGGAACGTTTACACAGAAATTCTTGGGTTCCTGGAACGTTGGTCCAACGCGTTAGACGCTTTCTGATCGGTAGTACTGTATTTACGCCTTTGCCGGCATGCAGTAGAGAAAGTGCGGTCGTTGGCAATTTTTCCGGGTATTGCGAAGGAAAAATAGAGAACAACGTAGATGCCTGCCAATGTGCTCCAGCAAAGTATTGCAGCAATAATAACAATTCCCAGGCGGAGAGTAACGTCGTGACTACAAGCCGCCGTTGGACCTCCGGTTTCACGTTCGTATGCACCTCTCATGTCTCGAAACGATCCCAGAAGCATCTCCCTGTTCTGTTTACACGGAGTTCTCCGCGCACGCTCCTCAACACCCTGTTTGCAACCCCCGGGGTCGTTCCGCCCGACGTGCCGTTGATGTTTCTGACATATCTCATCACACATCACACTCTTCCGGCGGATGTGTTCCTTGAATGACAGTCCAGCCAGTTACCGCCTTTGTTGGCGTTGAGCTACTTCCATCAACCGTGCCCTGCTAGCACGAGCGAAACCGAAGCAGCGTGGTTAATGCGTGCCGCCGAGGACTGGCGCACGACCAACCAGGTGAGGGAATGAGCACGGGTTTTCAGGCATATATCTGGTTTGAAGCTTCTTGATGGTGCTGTTGGTCGTGGTAGAGTGACAGTCAACTCCTTAAAAGGGGAGATACGTGCTGACTTGATGTTTTTGCTCTACCTACTTGGTCAAACTGTCGATATTTTGCGATAGAGACTTGACGGAATGGGTTTCTGGCGGCCAACCTTTGTGTCCACACAAACCAGCTACTTGAACTCGTTCTCTGCTCGTTATACAGCATTGGTGCGTCACTGACAGTGGTTCGTCGGTTGGTTGCGGGCGCGCCTAGCATGCCTCGCCAGAGAGATGTCACGCTCAAGTTCGATTTTCGACGACGCGCTTCCATCCTTGTTCCCCCCAAATATTCAATTGCACAGGGCGAAGTGAACGCTGTTAGACGAAGGGACGAGGCCGCACGTTCCTCGCTCGTGGAGGCCTTCTACAGCGGTGACGACCTCCTTCGGCACATCGCGGCGGAGTACGCCCGATCCGCCCTCCGCGTCGCTCCTCCCTTCACAAGCGTCGCCGCCACCGACCGCCCGCGCGCGTTCTGGAGTCGCCTCGAGCAGTATCTGCAGCAGCAGGCCAATGGCGAACAGAACGGCGAGCCCCTGTTCAAGTGGCTGGGCATCGTCGAGCCCCCTCCCCCGACCGGCGACCAGTCAACGTGGGAGGAGGGTGACGATGGCGCCGTGGCTGACGAAGATGCGTGGGAGGTGCCCTTCGCGGATGCCGAGATCGAGGTGGAGACGTTCGAAGTCCTTCCTCCCCCGCGAAGGCTGTTTACACCGTGGCCGTCCGCGCGCACGGGAAGGGTAGACCTTAGGCCCACTCCTCCAAGTTCGCGGGGACGCAGGCATGCACTGGACCCGGCCAGCAGACTAGTGTTGGCAACGTCGACGTTCGGGACTCTTAACCTTCGAGCAGAGGTTGAACTTTGGGTGGCCGGAACGAACATTCGCCAGGAGGGTCTGCGGCGCCTGATGGTGGGTGTCTTGAACCTATAGAGCAGAATGGCGCGAAGCGTGTCTTCGCTCTCCTCTCCCATCCCGACTGCACATCGTCTTTTTTGACATTCGATCGCCTCGCCGTCGTTGTGTACGCTGAAATCCTCTCCTCCTCTTTTTCTGCCTCTTTTTTCATCAAAACGCAATATTTCAGCAGGAAAATCGCACACCACAGTAGATAACAACCCGCTGTTTCGACCACGTTACCCAATCCACCGCGCACACCTTGGCCTGGCTGCAGGCCGTCCAGGAACGCGAGCTATCCAAGGCTTGGGTTGCCCTATGGAGTCACCGTCGTCGTCTCGACCCCGTCTCGAAGACTTGGGTCGACGCCGATGATCCCGGTGACGCCGCTGTACGTGCGGCAGCCCGACGTGTGGTTTTCCTCGAGGCCCACCCGGAACAGGTGTGTACGACGGTTGTCGAAACCTTCGTGAATGGCAGGACATTCTTCGACAACGCTCTGCCGCTTTCTCTGTATTTAGTATCTCGGTACCTGCCTCTGTCTGAATTTGTCTCTGCGTTCGGGGGCAGCATAGGCACAGGCCCACGAACCCTACCAAGATAAGGCCATCGTGAAACGCAGCACTCCACCAAACCTCGCTGTTACGCACTGCATCTACCACCCTTTCAGGCACGGGGATGGGGGGTCTCGGCAGCTTACCTTTTCTCCCCCCTTGTTTGTGAACACAAACAGGATGCGTTCAATTCGTTTCCGCGTTAACCCCGACCTGTTGTTTGGGTCTTATCGGTAGGCTTGCCAGGAGCAAGGGGCGATGATGAAGGCCTTCGTCCGCCGCAATGGAGCAGAAGTTTTGAAAGCCGTAGAGGAAGCCGATGCCGAGCTAGCCGCTGCGTGGGAGCGTATGCACGACAACCACGACGACGTCGACGCTTCTCACTCCTCAACTACACCTCCAGCCTCGACTTCCCCTTCAACGTTTGACCGCGCGTACGCCGCCTACCGCAAGCACATTGACACCCGGGCCTCAGCTGCCCTGGTGGCGAACTCACTCCCCCCGACGTCCGTGGCATCGGCAACCCTGCAACTCCGGAGGATCGGTCGGATGGCCGACGCCTGGGAGTCTGCTAACCACCGACGGGTATGCGCCCAGAGGTTCGCCGACCACTTCAGCGGCGCTGCTGGCGCAGAGAAGGCAGCGCAAGAACGGGAGGCTCTGCCGAAGCGACTGCGGGAGAGCCGCGCGGCGGCTAACGAAGACGCCGCAGCATTCGGTGCCGTCGTGGCCCTTGTCGTGGCGCCAATGTTGATTGGCCGCGCGTCCCAGATGTGCGAGTGCGACATGGGGGCTATCCTGAGCAACGCGGTGGACTGGGTGGCCTTCAACGGGGAAGCGTTCGAAGAGGAATTGCAGAGGATGGAGGCCAGGCTCAGACTGTCGCCAGGGACGATGGCAGGGAAAAACGTAAAGGACGAGGGGTGCTCGGGAGGGGGTATGGGGAGAATACTGGATGGATGCGAGTGCAACCTCGAATCTTCAGTTTCGTCTTGCAGCCGGCTGGTGGCGTGCCCCATCGTTACGCGTCGGATATTGAGGGTGCCCGAGCCCGTTTGCCCGGAGTGCGAGGATGGCAGCGGCGTGTTTGGCACAGATTTGTTCGACCTGTTCGCTTAAACTTCCCTCGTAATAGATACTGTAGAGAGCGAAAGCAGTATAGGTATGTATGTAGATATTTCGTGAACCCTTTTCACCCGATCGATCTCTCTCGACCTCATGATACCGGTCTTCATGGGCTTTTTACGTGTAGCAGTGTAGCTTCACTCGTGGTAGTCCCTTGGAGATGTATATACGAGCTTGTGACCTGCTCCCCTCGCCAATCCGTACCGTATGAGACGAAGTCATTGGGTGTTGGTGTGGGTTGGGCTAATCAGACACGTCAGTGTTGACCTAGAGTGTGTTCTTGTCTCATTGTGGCTTCATCTGAGGGGGGGCTGTGAAGTGAATGCGCCGCATGGGCATACTCCGCGACATGTCTGTCTCGGTGCGGAAGGGGTTCCTTCGAGGTATCCTCCCTTAGGAGAAATGTTTCCTAGCCGTCGTTGGATTGTTCCCTGTTTATTGTGTTGAGGCCATGCATGCCTTGTTCGTTGTTATTTTTGAGTGTGAACGTTGTCGGAGAGCACGCAGTGACTCGAGTATGAAAATGAGGGCGTGCTTAAAATTTACATGTACGTTTACCAGCCTCACTTTACGCCATTCTTCGAAGTATTTCTAGGGGCGAGTAGTGGTTCTCGAAGACTTGGTATCATAGTCTACTGGTACAAGTCACCTAGTTTCACGCCGCGCTAATGTTGTTCAACGTTGGGTATCCTACCCTGCCAAAAGGGTTGAACAGACAAGCTGCTGTTGCTCGCAGAAACACGGAGGCCGTACATTGCGTGACGCAGCGTTGCTGTATACTGCTAGCGAAAGGAACAACAAGCCGAGCGTCCTGTGTGGACGTATGAAGCCTTGCAAAGTTGCTGGGGTGTGTCCCATGGCCACGCCACAACCCAGCAGCAAATGATTCGGGAGGATACGCGAAGTCTTGGAAACGTACTTTTGATAGCGCGGGGGATCTATATCTCTACATTAGTTAAGGTTGTAAGGGGGAACAGCGCTCTCGGCCACAACGTGCGGTTGCAATATCGAACGATTGTCCGCTTCGCTCTTCATTCCCGTGCCTCTAGTAGCTGCAAGGGCAGCGAGGCAAGCGCATGTGTCCTCGGCCCATTTCCTTGAACTGGTGTACGTTTCGCATGGACCCTTTCGAACAAGGAAGAAGCAACACACGAAACATTAACCGTCAAGCATTGAGATGGAATTGGTCAATGTACAGACTGCACCATGAAGGATTTTGTTGAGGTATTATTGTTGCGGCGGTGAAATCTCCTGAGGCTCCGCGACCCCTAAGAGCATCCCCGTCGGTATCCTACGCGGCTATTTCCAGATGCAAAAGATATAACGACTGCCGCAGAGTCGGTGGCCACCACTACAGTTGAGTGGGTGGGCTTGAGCAGGTAAGTTGGCGAGAGGGCGTCGGCGCCTCATCACGTGTGCCAACAAGTTTGCGGAGAATAGTTGCGATGGAATTCCCGCCTCCACGGCGTGACCCGCCGATATTGGCGGTGACTCTAGTAAATAGTCGCGGGCCTCCAACGTAAATCCAGTGGTTATCACCACGAGGAAACCATGATGTGAAACGCAGCTAACTCCCTGGAACTCAAACGCCGAAGAGCACGCACGAGGTACCAGAAAAATGAATGCGAGCATCCATGATACGAACGCCATTCACACGTTGAACAGTGAATCTACCAGGCATCAATATATTGTCGTGTGGGTGACCGTATATTTCCTAGGGGCTTCCGATTACGATGAGCAACGGAGCTACATCGGCATAATATCTGAAGCATGAATGTCGTTAGACCTCCCGAAAGGCGCGGCGAGCTTCCGCCAAGGTAGCTTCGTTGAGGAAGCAGGTACCCCAGGCACTTGCTCGTAAGGCAGTTGCGGATAACCTACCTTCAACACGTGTGGAATGAAGCAAAGGCCGTCCAGACAAGCTTCCACAGGGTTACCGTTCCGTGGGAAAAAAGGGCAGCTTCCATGGCGGCCATGAGGTCTCATAAATAACTTTGAAAGCTTCCATGAAGGAACCGGTGAGCTGACACCGATTCTACATGAATCCATCACCCATCGGGGTCGTCCGCGTACACACCAATCACCAATGCTTGACGATGTGCAGCTGTAGTGAATCGGCGATATTTGCGGTATTGGTGGCATGGGCGAGAGAGAAAGAGAGGGTAGCAGGCGTGAGGGTGGTTAGAGGTGGAGGTTAGATCTTGGTTTCCGGTTCCCTGGGGGGTATTTGCAGTTTTGAAACGCGGAAGGTAGCCGCGGGTAAGCTTCAATTTTGACAGTCCCGCGAAATGGATGGCGCTCCGCGTTCTCATCTCTCACCTCTCTCACGATAAATCGGAAACATAAGCAGTCAGAGCAGGCGGTGTTAAGGTAGAGCCCCTCCCTCTGTTGTGAAAAGGCAGACTTCCCCCGCAACGAGCCGACGAACCATCACCGACTCGCCCCAATCCCCTTTTCATCCGCGGCACCTCCCCTGTGCCACAGAACTGAACCCGCCCGCCTCCTAGACCTGCTGCTCGCTCGACTGAATGTACAACCACGGGTTGTACGGAGACCGGCTTCTACATGGGGAGTATCGTGGTTGCGTGGTGCTTGGGTGATAAACGGGGGTCCGTGGATCATTTTGCTTATAAAAATCGCATCTGGTCAAATAAAAAATTCATCTGCAGTACAGACAGTAGCATCTGACGAGGAGACCACGAATGAATACCATTGTTTCACAACACGACAAAATCGCGCATACTTTTTGTGCATGGGCTACCCATGACATACTCGTGTACATAAGACTCCTGCAGCATGCACAATAGACCTTCTAAACAACACATCACACGACACACGAGGGTGGAAATGAGAGGCGAGAATAATCACACCGCTGCAAATCCAGCCGACAGACACGAGCACACCGGAACACACCATGCCGAACTTGAACATTCTTCCCTCACAGGCGGCGCAGATTATGGACCATAGACTACAGCCGGTATACACCCAATGTGACCAACAGACAATGATCTGCGAGGCATGGTCTTTCATACGCTACTTGACTGAGCTGAGATGGACCCCGTGGCCACCAACGAGTCTCGGCAAGCATTCCCGTGGCCGACACGACTACGCTCCGCACGCCGCTCCCCATCGATCCAACAGGTACGAGCCCGCGCTGTTGCATACCAGAAATAATCCTAAAAATGTATCCAAAATTCACAGTCAAGCAGATTCAAATCAGCAATACTGTAATCCACCAAATTGTCAAACGACAAGGCGGCGATTACCTGTTTGTGAAGGTGGACGCTTATATCACACGACACAACGGAGGACATCTCCCCGATTTATTAGACGTTATTAAACTGCTCTTTGAGCAGGAAGCCTAAAAGAGCCGCAAGTCTATTGGCAACTTTTGGTCGGGGGTTTTGTCGATGGAACTCTTGGTGCATGCTCTTAATGGGACGAACAAGGTTTGGTGCACGGGATTGGCGGAATGCGGAGGCGAGATCCTATATTTTGTTTAGCAACGGCGAGAAGTAGGCACACCCCTTCATACCACACCGCGAAGAAACCGGCCAGAGCGTGCAGGAGAAGGTAATGTAGTGACAACGTTTTTTCTCCACACTCACGATACCCACAAGCATCAAATCTGGCACCAGATAGATGCTGTGTAGAGCTACCCCCCTCGGGGTGGCATTGCTGTTGCTGCTGCCCCCTCCTTCGAAAAGTTATCGCTGGAAAACCAAACCATGAGCACACAATTCCCGCAAACTTGAACCAACCCCTCTCTCTCGTGGGTATTTTAGACTCAACAAAAACGTTTTTCCCGGCGCGCACGATACCCAACGGCACCAAATCTTGGGTATGAAAGATGGAGCAGAGGGCTACCTCTCGCCGAGTGTCCTTTCTATTGCTGTTGCTTCCTCCTTCAGAAAGTTATCGGTGGAAAAACAAACCCGTGGAGGTCACAAACACCGAATTTGAACCATCAGTTCGCGGCCGTCGACGATCGTCGTGCGTCAGTACAATCTTTTTCCCCCGGCCGATTCGGCACCTCACGGTACCAAACCTTGGCAGTACCCAACAGCTCATGGCATCATCTCGTTCCAGATACCATTCATGACGTAGCTCGTCAGGTATTCGTCGAGATATCAGTGATCACGGTCTTCTCACAATCGAAGCTGGAGAGGGGGGTATATATGTGTGTGTGAATAGGGGTAGGAGCTTGACGTTGGGTTGGCGGAAGTCGCGCCGCGTAATTTTGTTCGACACCTTCGTCGCGAAAAAAGCTTCAGAACATTTCTGCAGATTGCGTTTTTTTCTCCGGAGAAACGTTTCAAAACTTCTGTGCAGCGTTTTGCTCCCATAGTCTAATGAGTGTATAATAGAAAAAAGGAAAAAAAAGGTTGAGAGTTTTGACTTTTTTCGCAGCATTCTGCTCCATTAATAGCGGTGTTAACCCAACAAAGAACGACAATATATTTTAGAATTCATACCTATACAGAGAGGTTTTGTGATTAGCACCAGCTGGCATCACTGTATAGTTTTAGTAGCATATAGGCTTACAGCAACTCTAGGGTTTGTCCCGTACCACCGTAGGTTGCATAAAATATTATACTTACATTTGATACCCCTCCGGAAAACGTACACAATACCCGTGTGCTAATTGATTGAACCCCCGGCAAAAGCGTCATTGCATCACACGGCGACATAAACACTGGTACACCCCCTAAAGTTGAGCCGCATATTATCGACGCAGGCCCCGCTTATCCCACGCCGTGACAACGTGAGAGCGCGAGATCACAAGCACATAACCTGCTCGCAAAGGTCATCACACATCACCCCCTTCTCGGCCAAAGCTCCAACCGACAAGATGTTCGCCCCTAGGTTGCGAACCAGCAGAACTTCCACCGCTACCGGTACCACCGTGTTCTTGTCATTCCGAATTCCAAATTTTATCGTGCCTTTCTTCGTTGCATTTGAGGCACCACACGACCCGATGATACGCACGGCGCAGTCCACCGGATTACGAACATTTTTCGACAGGCGG